TCAAGTAACACATACGTGTATTGAGGAACTGAAGGTTTTTGAAACTGCAAGAATGGCTACTGTGCCAGTGGATATAGAGGTCAATGATATATGGATATGCATACAAACCATTTTTATAGCTTTGTGTTTTAATAACAATACAAAAACTAAGCAATACACAAAGTCAAGCAGACAAATTCCTTCAGTGCAATATGCAGTCCCTAATTTTATAATAAATTTTAAAATTAAAATACTAACCATTTTGGATAATGTAGACTGCTACAGTGCAGTCAGTAGCATGCAAATAAGACAAGGTATGTTCAAGGTGTAAAGTTGCTTAAATAAGATACCAGAGCTGTTGCTATTATTACCATTATGATAGGAATCCAGTGATCACGATTTTTCTGAAAAAAAGATAAAATGTTTTGAGATAATAAATTGATTATAAATAAAATACACTGTATGTTTGAAAAAATAATTCCTCCTCCTGGTCATGTGGTAACACTGAATTTTTCCTGTGCTTTCACATTGTTATTTTATTCCTGAGAAACTTCTACCTCTATCTGATTAAAATATATGTATCAGCAGGAAAAAAAAAATGAGATTTTTTTTTTCTCTGCAATGGCAGGAAAAAAAAACTAGGGTTGATGCTGAAGATAGATAAATTTTTACTCTTAATGTTATTGTTATTGTTATTCCCATGTTATAATATTAATGTTAGTGTTTTGGTAAGAAGATTATCTTACAGGTTATATTTCGTAGGCATACTGCAGAGACGCAAGGTGAATCTTTTGTACATGGGGTCCAAAGAAAATGACAAATGCATAAAGAGACTTTATAGATGTCTAATTTAAAAATAACTAGATTATATATCCCAGGCTTCTTATAAAGTCCTGCCTGGCATACGGTCTCAAATAGTTAAAGTAACATCACTGTATCCTTACTTTTATTGCATAGATACACATATTTATCTTTGAAATGTCCAAGTTCAAATCCGTGAGCAGGGCACCAAAAGATTAGGAAGTTGGACTATGACAGTCTTCCCCATCCTAGAGCTGTTTGGGTAGGATAGGATTTCAACTTCTAGATTTGATAGCTAGTGAGGCTAAAGCAGTGACTTCATGGGAATTCGGGGCATTTGAATCCCAACTTCTGGAGGATGCCAAGCTGATTGGGGAAATCTATACGATATCTTTGATGATTAAGCTTACAATATTAGGTGGCATAAATGGAGCTTTATTTATTTATCATATTTGTATAGCAAATATAAATATGTATTTATCATATTTATTTATCATATTTGTATAGGTTCCAAGAGAATTGCTCTTACCAGGACCTGCTTGCTTTGAGAGTGCTTGAGTTCATCACGGCACTGCTGTAACTTGGCAAGGCAATTGCAGTACTCATCATTCAGGACCTCTAGTTCATGACGGAGGTCAGTGCACTGGGCAAGAAAAAAAAAACATGCTTAAGAAAATGGCTGTTTTCTATATTTTTTCTAAGAAGATTTATGGTAGGGGTGGACAACTTGAGCCCAAGTAGCCATCTGCCATTCCCCACTCCTATTTTTACAGACCCCAAAGTCCTAAGATCATGCTGCTGAAATCTTCAGTGTGTGCAACTCTGGCTGATTTAATAAAAAATGTTCCATTTTTGCTTCTTGGCACTACAGAATATAGTTCTGCTTTATTTTACAATTTAAAAAAAATTTAAAATGTGGGTCCAAACCATCTTGCCATACTGTGAATTAACTCCTGAATGTACCCCGGAATGCAGTTCCTGTCTGCAAAGCAGTACTGGCATACTGCAAAGTGAAAAAACTCTGATTCCTGCTGATTCTGCAGGAAGAAGCTTCTCCTTTGCCTCAGAGTTAGCTGCAATGTACTACATTAGAAAACTCTTAAGCTTATGGCATTTTGTTTGAGAGTTTCAATGGCATGCTCCTCACTGACTAGCTAGCATTTCACTGGGAAACCTTATGTATATTATAGAATTGTCCATATATTTTAGAATTGAGAGGGGCAACAAGCAGTGAAGTTAAGAAACATTGGGGATGATTTGAAAATGAAACAGATACTAGTGTGGAAGGCCTTAAGCAAGAAGTGGGAGACACAGATCCATGTAAGTGTCCAACCCTATTAGCAAAAGGAGCAGAGGGATCAGGGATGTTAAATCCTTTCTTAATTTTAGCTTAAACTCAGGAAGCTAGCTTGATGGGAGAACAGTGCTGGAGGAAAAGAATATGAGAAGAGTGAAGGGTCTCATCAATAATGTTTTCAACAGTACATTTTCAGCTTAACGTATACTCTCTGGCTACCCATGGTTCCTGATCTACTTTGAGAACAGTTGATTCATTACAATAAATTGCTTGGGATTTAACATGGAAAGCCACAAAGACTACAAGCTGTTGGACAGATAGTTGTACAATAAAAGACAGGATATTTACACACCCTCCTTGTCTACTTTGTAACTAATTAAGTGCCAAAACATAATGGGTGGAATATGGTGTTCACTGAAATTTTCTTTGGGTTGGGGGGGCAATTTATTCGATCTGTTCATCTAACTGAGAATGGATGAAAAGATGCAGAATAAATTTTTGGCGGAGCATTTCTCATGACATACATGGCTAATTTTCTTGCCCTTGTTCCTGATTGATGGGATAGATCTGGCTTTCGGTTCAAGTCTTTGTTTCACCAAATCACAGTACAACTTTTAGTTAGCAAAATTACTGAAACGTGCGATATGGGCTTGATTCTCACATTTGATTTGCGATCAGGGAAAACATTAGAACATCAGCTGTTTTGTTAACGTACTAAAACTGAGCTGATCTATCAGTGACTGGATGTGGGAAATCCAATATGGGATCTGATAAGTCCCTCTGTTCCATGTTCTATGTGTGCAATAGGATTAAGGGTAGGTCATCACAGTACAGTAGTGATTAGCCCTTTCATACACAACATGCTTATCAACTGAAAGTCAGTGAATCTGAATTTACTATCAGTGATAAGCAGTTGGACATATAGGGTAAGACAAATTTGAAATAATGCATGTAAGAGACCAAATGCAGATTAGCTTGATGAGATGGAAACTGATAATGCAAAGTGTTCTTAGCTACATTGTAAGGTATTTGCAAATAGCAGTCTCCTAATGAGATCTTCTAATCTTATTAGCTGCTTGAATCACCTCCTCACCTCTTTTTGCTTAGCTGCAACCTCGGATGTTCTTTTTTGCAGCTGTTCCTGCAGGCTGCTCTTTTTCCCTCCCTCCTGATCCTCTGAATGGACATTCTGCTTAGTTCTTACCCAACTGAGGACTTCACTGGGCATTGTGACAGCCTGCTCTATAAAAACAACCAGACCTTTATTAGAAACACATCCTTTCATATTAGTATTCCTATGATACTGCAAAATGATTGCCTTGCTCAATAAATGCATGAATTAAAATCTGTCCTTTATGGGACTACAGCAACCTATTACTCTCATAAAGGGACTAATGCAAATGGGCTACACCCTTTTCAAAAGTTGTGATGTGATTATGCAGGTACCATATTCTTAAGCTATAGGAAAGCATATTGGTAGATCAGGTAAGATATTCTTCCAATTTGCTGAGAAAGTTGACTGAGAATGAATGACCAAGAGAAAATGTGAATGGCTTGTAGTTTTAAATTATAAGTGAGCATAATAGGCAAGACCTTAGAATAATCCTCAATGTGTTACTCTCAAGGGTATTAGATAATAATTTCCATCATATCCAGATAGCATGAAAGGCATCATGTTGAAGAAAGTTCCTAGAGAATATGTTTACTTCTTGGTGCAGGTCTGGATGTTTTAATTTGAAATTTCCATTTTTGGGAAAACAAGAGTGGATTTGTAAGTGGTCAATTCTTCTATTAATCTGTATGTTCTTAAACCTTAGGATACATTGCAGTGCTCAGGATAAGCA